CGTCCACGTTCTTCGTACATGTATCCAGCAGTTTCCGCATATCAGTTGCGTTTTCGTCAATGACCTGTGGTAAGTCGAACAACGAATCAATATGCTTATCGATTATAAGCCGACGATCTTCGAAACGTTCAGTCAGTGTCGCCCAAGCGCGTCGTAATCGTTGTTATTAATGATCTCCTGATCAATGATTCCCGCAGCCCTTGCAGTCAACGAGTTCCGGAGGTGATACAGTTTTATTGCAGGGGACTCCGAGTTGTAGCGGGACATGATTGTCGTAAACATTGATTTAAACGCGTACCAATTCTCGTACGATCCATCAAACGATGGCAGCGGCACCTTCAACGGTGGCAGCTGGGACACGTTCACAGTTGGTGGAGCGGGGATCCCAACCGACGGTTCCTCCTTTTTCAAGGAAGTTTCCAACAATTTAGTAAGGACAATATACAACTCACCGTAAAGCTGCTCAAATTCGATACAAGCTGTCTCCAGCCCATCACGATCTTCATCGCTGATGTTAAGGCCGTGAGCTCGTTGCTGTTGGACGTTGTAGTCAGCATTTACACTTTCCACAACCTTTAGCTGAAGCTGCAAAAATTGTTTGCACTCCAGGCTCTGATTGTAGTCGTCGGTGTCAGTTTCCATCGCTGATCTCACTCGCTCCAGCTTCCTACGTAATGCACTCAGCTGATTTTGTAGCACTCTATATTCAGCAGCCATCTTCTTCTTCGCCTCTTTTTCCTTTTTTCTTTTTCTTCTGTTCACTGATCGGCACTGGTTCACCGTTCTGGTTGTTTTCTTTCACTGGCGTAACACTTTCATCGGCGGAATTTTCATCACCAGTGTTTTTATCTTTCGCACTTCTCGTCACGATCGGTGTACGTACCATGCTCATCGTGCTTATTCATTTCCGCACCAATAATGCGGTAACAATTCGTCACTGAATACCGCCCTGAATCTTCAACATTTGCGTTCCACTTGGGGGGGCAGCTCGTTACTTGTGAAAAACACTATGCCTTTTTCACTCTTCGCTGTTAGCGGCCATTTTTTATCACCACAAGCACGATAGCATGTTCGACGTTGTGATGTTTTCACCAATCGAATACAATCCGTATGATTGTCAACTTCTGCGAAATAGCACTTAATTAGCAATCGATTATTCGTTTTTTCAAAGAATATGCAGCTAGCATTAGCACTAGCGCATTCAAGAGCTGCAAACACTCGACCCGACGGCAACTGCGTAATTCGCCTCCAGTAATGGCGTCATTTTTCTTCGGCTGCGTGAGCCTCTACTGCACGCCGGTTCGAAGGACCACTAATGTCCTTGCAATCGCGGGAAATGGACTGTAACGAAAGAGTTTCGGTTTCAGTGGAATAAAATTTCTTCGGACGAAATCAAAAGAACGCGTGTTAATGATTCAACAGACAATTTTACTCTGAACTAATAATCGGTTACATGTGTGGATGTGTATAAAAAAAATGTATGATGGTTTCTGTATTCTTCGTAGGTTGTCTTAATGCCAGAGGTTCGTTAAAGTACCAACAGATACTATAGATTTCATAGATAAGCGGAGGCAAAGTATAATGTAGCCAAACGAACTGTCAGTTAGTGTAACCAAACGAGCATGACGTCATCATGGTGTTGTTTGAGGGAGAAGTATTGTAAAATTATGAGCACAAAACGCTTTCTACACTCCACATTCCGATTTATTTCGCGGACAACGGAAGAAGGGAAGATAAAGTAAACCATTCCTCGACTCATTGTTGCAAAGATTTGCTTTGCACTTCATTTTGAACTTACGCACGAAACAAAACAAAACTGCACAACGAAGAGCTCTAAGATGGCATGAACTTTTTTCACGAATGCCACTAAGATCATTTGTTTTTCAAGGTTGCCAAAACAACTTTTTGTGCCTCCGCTTATCTATGGAATCTATAGTATCTATAATATCGACAACAAATTTACTCAGTCTAGGAGTATACTAATAGGCTGAGTGAAACCTCTCTCGATTTTCAGCATATACGAAAAGTTTTTTTTTTCTGGAAAATCAACGAACATTTCTACAGCAACAATTGAAATAGGCGGAACAACCAAACGTAAACAATGGCTTCAAACGCAAATTCCTCGAGAATCAAAGCACATCCAGCAATCTAACACCATCATCTGATAGAGCAAACTTTCTTTGTCGAATGGCGTTGTTAGTTTGCGTAGGAGTGTTTTGATTCTCGAGAATTTTCTGTTTAAAGCCATTGTTTACGTTTGGTTGTTCCGCCTATTTCAATTGTTGGTCTAGATTTTACTCAGTCAGTAGATTCTTCTCATATTTGATATTTCTATCTGCAATCATGCTATTTCTAAGCACTCAAATTTGAGCAGGATCCACTCATTTCGGTGAAAAGTATAGCTACCCAAAATTGAGTAAACAAAGTTGGAACTGCGGCCAATACATGAACTATTTTTATCCACCAAATTGTAGTCCTAGTTAATCCAAGAAACTTCACTGAGGACGTCAACTTAATTGGATGCAATTCCAGAGCGTTAGTATTTTGTTCCTGCTATAGGTTTAATTTCTGGCTCTATGCTAAATTTTGAGATTTATTGTATACCTTATGCGTGATAATGTTTGCACCATTGAGAAATGTCAAAATTTAAAAAATTCTCAAAAATTTCGTTTTCGATTTTTTCTAATTATTTAAAGGGGGATGTTTCTCAGAGTCTTAAACTATGTTAATCATCGATCGAGTTTCCACTTGCTGCAAATACGGCTTCCACACGCTTCCGGAATGCACGGCAGGTTCTAATAATGTAGTCTGGATCCATTTCTCTCCAGATACGGGTCAATGTTTGTCTGAGGCTTGCTGTACTCGGGTGGTGTTTAGAAAAGGCCTAGGCCTTCATGACGCGCCATATTGAGTAATCCAGCGGATTAAGATCGGGGCTGGATGGCGACCACATATCCTTCGCCCAGAACGGAAGATGTTCCTGCAACCACTTCTGAGCGCGGTTCGAGGTGTGGCACGAAGCCCCATCTTGTTGAAATACACAGTTTGGCTTCGGATCGTACTGTTCTTTGATCCACGGAAGAACATACTTACTAAAAATCCTGATGTAGACCTCCGTGTTGACCTTGTCGCCTTCTGGAATGAACACCGGGTCCATTTTTTGCCATCGGAAGCCACCAATACAAACACCATAACGCTAGCAGGATGCTTGGTCAGATACACGTTCTTGTGCTCGTCGGCCACGTCTTTTACCGGAAGAGAACTAATATACCGGTCGGTTCTGGAATTTGAGGAAGTTCAAGATTTTCTTGTATCGTTCTACTCGTAGCTCCCGGATGCGGTTGGTAATCATGTGAGTTTTTTTTTCCCGTGCCCTCGACTTCGCCCCGCAATCTTCCTTTACGATCTTCCGTGCCGTAAAGTCACTGATCCCGTGTTCCTTTTCCATTTTCCTTATTGAACGCACTGGATTCACCCGAATCTTCCTTTTGATAGCAGCGATAACCCTCGGACAACCTGTGGCCACCTTTGCGGATAGTTGTCTTTTCTTTTCTCGGTCTAAAACCCTTTTGACGGTCCACCGGGACACTCCCACGGCGATTGAAATGTCTTTTTGCGACATTTGCGCGTGGGAAAAATCACGAATACGCTGCCACTTCTTCATGGTGCAACTGTCAAACTAATAGCGAATTCGTTTATTATCGGTGTTGGAACCAGGTCCAACCCAGTGCGAAACCGAACTTTTTGTCAGTGCGAACCTCAACCTGAGCTAGGTTTTGAAAACAAACGAGCAAACTGACGTTTGTCAGAAAACAAGCAGACCCAATCTTGATACCCGATCCAGGTTGGAACTGAATAATAAACGAATTCGCTATAAGTAAATCATTTTCTTTTATACACAGCCTACTACGGTATGAGCTATAGGTTACGTGCATGCAAAGAAAACCAAGGCATTGTATGCACAGGTGAAACATGAACCTTATTTGTACGATGGTGCAAACATTATCACGCATACGGTACAATCGTCAAAATAGCGTCGAAATAACAAATTACAAAAAGTGGAATTACTCAGTGAGTGTGTAAAATTTTCCTCAAAAATCGGTTCGAATATGAGGAAATCGATGAAGATTTTCCTCAATCTATGAGTACCTATTAGACTGATGCAAATTTTGAAATTTTCGCTCCACAATGCTCATACGGTTTAAAATCGGATTCTGAGTAGCCTTTCAAAATTTGAACTCATTCGATAAGAAACTGACTTGGCACAAACCATTTGAAGTTTATATGGAAATTACTATGGGAAAACCAAATGTATTGTTCATATCCATCTAATAATTTACCATAACGATCTGGTTTAAAAATGATAACTGAGCTCGTAGCAAATTTTCTCAGCTACAACTTTGTTCAAGACCACTTTTCGATCAAATGTAAAGAACAAAAATTATTAATGATTCAAGTCACTGATGTCTTATGATTATGCTCAATCAACTGTTCAGCAGGCAACATTGGTGTTTCTGGCGCTTGGAATAGAGCACAAAAATCATGGCTACTATGTCACACTGCAAGATACAGTGTTGCTCACAAAACAGCAGCTTGATCATGCCATAAGATTATCAATCTCTTAAACAATTAATAACTATTTTATTTGACGTTTGGCTCTACAACTATATTCTGCTAAGTTATAGCTGAGAAAATTTTCCATAAGTATAGCTTTTGAATTTTTGAACAGTGCAATATGGAAAAAGGTAAGAAGACAATGAACAAAAAGTTTGGATTTCCCATAGTAATTTTCATATAAACTTCAAATGGTTTGTGCCAAGTCAGTTTCTTATCAAAGGAGTTCAAATATTGGGAGACTAATCAGGACCCGATTTGGAACCGTTTGATCACTGTGGAGCGAAAATTTCAAAATTTGCATCAGTCTAGTCTATACATGAATTCCCCATATCACAACTCTAAACGAACTCTAAACAAACACCCGCTCTGTTATCTATTTTCAGGCTGCCGCAACAATGACGAGCTACCTAGTAATGCTGATACAATTCGGATTGGTGAATCACTAAGCTACTCTATCAGGTAGATACGTTTTTGGTTCATCACAGACGCCTTGCCTTAGAAAATAAAAGATTTTGCATGCTAAAACAGTTTCATTCAATGTATCGCTTCATCTGTGTTGGAAATATTTGCTAAATATAAAGTTTGAGGATTTCGGACCATAAACAGCACCATACCTTTGATAATACCAGTACTATAATTACCATAAAATGTTATGTTTTCCTACATCCTGCGGGTAGGAAAAGTTTGCTCGATCGTCTCTCCCTGTTGCGTCTACCATCAGAACATTCCATTTACGCTTATAGAGTATGACTGTTGTAGTAGTAGATCTTGAACTTTTTTGAAGAACTTTCATTGTTTTTTTATCTACAATGTTGTAGTAGAGATGGATGTCTAAATTTTCAATAGTACTCCAAAGTGTGTCTTGTAATTTGAATATGATACAGTTAATCCGGGATTACTTCACATTTGCCCTAATCTAGATGGATAATCTCATACTCTCGGAAATCTCGTGCGTATCAATGAATTTTGCCCTCTAGTCTTATTCGAAAAGGAATCATAACGGTTTCTAGATAGTTCAATTGCCCTCCAAAGCTGTCCTAGTAAGAAAAACCACGAGTGATGCTTCTCTATACTCTACTCACCTAGCGAAGCCAATGCGCGATCGCTTCCGGACCAGAGCGCGTACAACCTCGGCTTAGGGTCCGTCGTGTGTTGCATCTCAGTCTCGGCGCACTCGTGCAATGTACTTGGTTTTTGTGAGTGCTCTGCTGCCTCCAGTTGGATCCATCATGCGGGACCAATCAGTAACGCCAACCACGAACCCCATCTCACGCATCTTGTGCTGTGCCTTGCGCTCTTCGATGTCTGCCCAGCGTACGCGCTTCTTTCCGGATGATGACCCGCTCGGCCTGGCATCGTCCAGGTCGTCTCCCTCCTGCTGCAGGAAGTCCTCTATCGTCGGCGGACGGCGTGGCGGTTTGCTGATACCATCCAAGCGGGCTGCCACAAACAAGACAAGATGGAATTAGATACCTTCGGGAAGGGGACAGGGCAACTTGCCGCGAAACAGAGTAAGGGAGTGTTTGTGTGTGTGTATGGTGTAGAGAATTTTGGATCAATTCCTAGAGCTTGAAAGACAGAGAGCAACATCTAGAAATATATGGTGACATGGAATAATACCAACCTAGGTTCTGCTCGCTTGCTTCGGCGTCCCATTTACTGGTGAAAAATCCAAGCTAGACATTTTCCAATATTCATACGTTAGAAACGGTCAACGGCGTTGTTTGAGTTGATGGAATATTATACTAAGTTGTGATATTTGTGTTTATAGAAATTAGACATCACAGTGCCACGCAAAACGTAACCACGTTCTAGCTGGAAGTCATTTTGGCCGCTTTATTCTAGCGCTATTGGTAGGGGAAATGGCTCTAATGTTGGCCTATGGATAAGATTGGGCCCATCGATAGAAATCTCCTGTTCTTCATTTTTTCTTAGAACAATACGTCATCTTGGCAATACAAATGGATATTTTGGTGGCTAGTGAAATATTGTCAAACAAATGCTTTCCATCGAAATGTATGGATGGGCCCAATATTAGGGACACACATTATGATTGACTTACATAACAGACTTCTTATACTATACAGACTATATAGCTGATAATATGTAATATGGGGTATCTTGCAATAACACATTTACAGTGGAAATCAAATGCATGACTTTTGATATCTTAAGATAGCCCATATAACGTGATATCAGCTATAGTCTGAGCGTTGTATTAGAAGAATTCTAAAAAGGTAAGAGTTGTGTCTGATGCTGTCTTCAGATGGGTCACAGGAATTCAGACTAGGTACTGTAGAAAATAATTGCTTGAATGTTATCGATTCTAGGCCATTCCAGCGTCTTTAAGACCATTTTGCCGTTTTTTATGGCCGAATTCAGGGTAGTTTTAGCACCGACAAACCGACATGACACATAATTCTGACTTATGCTCGAAAATCGTAAACGGCCGATATAAATATGCAGTGATCCGAACTGTCAAAACCATAGGATTTTTTTATCTAGATAAAAATAATTTGTCCAGAATAGATCAGACACGAAACAGTTAATAACTTATGCATGCGGGTTCATGGTTTAGCTAAATATTTTCCGCGAACACGGAGCCAGGTGTCAGTAGTGTGCTTTGGTCAGAAATTCTATTGTTTTTGCTATGGTCATCCATGTCGGTTTGTCGGTGGTTTTAGGGCAATTTTGACGGTAATAAGCTTTTTTTTTTGAGATATAACTTTGTTTTTATCAATCGTTTTTGGGCTATTTTATCATTCAACTTAAGGTGTTTCAAAAGACAGTATCATTCCACGACGTTTTAAAAGCCATTTCAGCGTTTTTTTTTTGCCATACTAAAGCCATTTAGAGATGGTTTATAAGGTTACTGCCCCCTGAGGCAGCATGGGGCTTTGTTCAACAAAATGTTCAACAAGTCTCCTGCGAATCGTTCTCAAACTGACCGACAAACCTAATTCCTGTCAAAAGCTCGCTGCTAATTTAAAAGAATCAATATTCGAGAGCTATGACCATTGTCACTCACGGATCTAAGAGCATTGAAAACAAAAGTTTTTGATTTTCTGATGATATTGGCGATTTTTCATTGAGATTTTCCCTGTTCATTGCGCCTTGCAACGATTTGCCTTTCCACAATGTACTACACGTCCCATATTTCCCCACAGGTTTCTATCAAATCCAAAGTACAAGTAAATGTAAATTAGCATCGATCAAGTTGCACAATATCGTAGGTGGTACGAATTCAAAACTATTAAGAGCAAGACGGATATCTATTACTGGACAGATAGTAAATAGGAAATAAATAATCACTATCTCCCCGATAAAGACATATCTCTCTCCAACAGTTAAGGATTGTTCTGGCAACGTCCTTGCAACTGGTAGGGATAGGAAAGGTATGTTAGTCCAACATTTACATTTACATTTACAAGACATTTACATGCCCCAAGTGCGCTAGGTTGCCTAGCACTCAATACGCGCACGTTATACGCATAAATGTCCCATGTTCTATGCAATCCTTATGCACCGTGGGACCATTATGCGTATAACGGCAGTATACGACCCATAACTACAGCCTAGTGATTGGCTAGGTCAGCTAGCAGCAGCTCCAAGTGCGCTAGGTTGCCTAGCACTCAATACACGACCCATAACTACTGTCTAGTGATTGGCTAGGTCACCTAGAACAAGTAAATGTAAATGGTTATTTATGTAGCTTACGGCGTCCTTGCAATAGGTAAATACCTTATGTCCAAAAGTGTTTCTATGAGCTAAACGATTTTTGATTTGACGTACGTATTAGGCGGCATAATTTGTCGATCAGCTGGTGTTGTAAAACCACACATTAGTACAAGTGCTTTTCAAGTAGTGTCGCTTTGTTGTTTATTTAATTCAGTGCCAACACTTCAAAGAGGGGTAATTGCATTTGTAAACAATGGCTTTAGACGTCGATTTCTCGCAAATAAAAGCTCACTTATGAAAATTAATTACACCGTCAGGTAGAGGAATGTTTCCTCTACCAGCTAGCATTTTAATTTGGAGGAGTGAGCTTTTATTTGCGAGAAATCGACGGTAAAGCCATTGTTTACAAAAGCAATTATGCCCCTTTGAAATGTGGGCACTGAATTGACGGATATAGAAAGGTTTTCGTGTTTAACTTACAGGTGGTCTTATTGTTTTGTCCGTCACTGTTTGTTCCAGAGAATTCGTGAAAAGATTAAGGGTCTCCAGGAATATTGGAAAATATTATGGATATTCTGAGATTTGGTCAAATAAAGAGTGCTATAACAGTGAAACTTCGAAATTGGGGAACAGTGCATTAGTTATAGGGCATATCTACAAGTTTAGCGATCTTAGTAGAAATTCAGTTTGTGTAAGCTATGAAAAAATCGTATGAGTTCAAGTTTTCTTTATTAATGGCCGGGCGGGGCCCTCCGGAGTAAGAAACTTCTTAGAATAAGGAAGCAAATTTCCAGGAATTCGTAGAACTTCCGACAAATTCAGGAAACGTTAAGCTCAGAGAGTTTCGGATAAGTTCAATAGATTGGAAAGAAGTTCAGCAAGCTTTAAGTTTAATTAAAAAAAAAACTTTGAAGAAGTACAGGAATGGTGATGAACTAGCCCAAAAGTGGCTTAAAATAACGCTGATAACGTATTTAAAAAAGAACGCATAGGAACCTTCGTAGAAGTTTTAGAGCATTCTGTTGATATTCACTAATTCCCAATAATAATATGTGACGAACCTGAACGAAGCTGAAAGTGACTCTAATAAAGAATGATGAAAATGGATGAAAAACCTGGAATCTGAAAATGAGGAAAATTGACGAAAATTTTACTCAGTCTAGGAGTAGTACAAATAGACTGAAAGAATCCAATCTTGACTTAACACATAGTTCCAGCACTTTTTGCGATTATGAGTCAAATGAACTCAAATTAGGGTTGATCTCATTGGTCGTGCAGATTGAATAGTTTTTATTGTGAAAACCGTCAACTGGTTCAAAGATTAAAATTACGTCCCTTATATATTCTTTCAGAATGACACATTGATCAGAAAGTATTCAACCCAACAAACAATTCACAGTCACAAATAAGCATACACATTGAATAAATGCTGTATAACAGTGTACAACGCTGAATAAAACAGGATGTCGAATTATGTGCTGAAAAAAGCTCATTGAGATCGATAGATGCACCTTTATTCCGCCGTTTGCTCTGATATGATTAATTTACTTATTAAAAGCTTTATAAACGTTGACTGTCTTCCTGATTCAGAACCAGAAGTTTGATCTTATAACAGACTGAATAAGTGTAATTTGCACATACATTGTCGCTTTAATTCGACTGTTTTCAATTGCTTTAATACAATGCTTTATTAGACGTCTTATAAATGTTTTCTAGCTCCATTATTAGATTTCACTGCATTGCTTTATAATATTGCTGTATAAAGGTGAATACAGTCAGAAAAATAGCTCTGGTACCACTATGCGTCCATGTTTTGGTTGAGTGCTTTGTAAATGCTTTATAAACGACGTATTAGATTCATTATTCCACAACGCTGCCCAATAAACAATTCAGAGTCACAAATAAGCATATAGATTGAATAAATGCTTTATAACAGTGTACAATGCTGAATAAAACGGGTTGTCAAATTATGTGCTCAGAAAACCTCATTGAGATCGATGATGCGCCTTTATTCCGCTGATTGCTCTGATTTGATTAATATACTTATTAAAATCTATACAAACGATGACTGTCTTCATGATTTAACAGCAGAAGTTTGATCTAATATCATACTGGATAAGTGTGTTTCCATTGATTTAATAACATGCTTTATTATACGTCTAATAATTGTTTTCTAGCTGCATTACTAGGTTCCACTGCATTGCTTTACAATATTGCTGTATAAAGGTGATTACAGTCAGCATAGTAGCTCTTATACCACTATGCGTCCATGTTGTAATCACATGATTTGTAAATGCTTTATAAACGACGTATTAGATTCATTATTCGACAACACTGCTTCAGGCTAACTTCAAAACGAAATAGGTAGCATAGTGGTTACCGTTTCCGCTTTCCAAGTAGAAGGTCGCGAGTTCAATCCCAGCCTCAACCCTTTTATGTTTTATTTATTTTCTACGCCTAATTAATTTAAATCGTAATCATAAATCGTATCACTCACGACAACCAATTTATAGATCTATCGAAAAGAATAGCATCCTTCCCATCGAAATTAGAGAGATGGAGAGGTAACGTTGGTCTAATGTTAAACACCTATGAATAAATTAATCATTCTTACATCTCCTTGAATTAGCTAGAGTTACGGCTGGAAGTGCTGATCGAGGGGGGCGACACATCTAAATCTCAAGTTTAGATGCTCAACAAATCTCACACTATCGAATCAATCTTCGAAAAATCTTCTTTCATTTGTCGCATCTACTTGCATCGCGCATCATCTTTTTGCAGGAAATCTTCAGAATAGTCATCAATCTTCTTTCTATCTACTCAGTGTGCGCGCAGCTAGCCACAGCAAAACACAATCTTTTCTGAATCGTAAATAGAGTCGTCCCCTCGGTGCTGATAGGTTTTCAGATTCAAGCTTTTATTGTTTATTTAGCTGCCCATATGATGTATTCTAGGATAGCTCAGATGGCAAGGCAAGCGGCTGGTGATCGGCAGGTCA